TATTCATCAACTTCCTCATCAAATGTAATGAAAAACCTGCTGGATATCATATTTATGTTTTTACGCAAGATAGAAGATAAAGTTTGTTGCTGAGTAAATGGTTTTCTCCCATTACAATGATGGCTGCCTTTTCATTCATATTTTAATGAGGTTAGTATCTCTGAGACAGCTTTTTCGGGGTGGAGGCCCATGTCTCCGGTACAATTACAATAGGAGTTGCTTTATTGACAAGTACTATTCAAAATCTTCACAGTATAGAAAGAAAGGCTTTAGTTTTCCACCACTTGTCCAAATACTTATTCCTCTCTTACTATTAAAACACTTTCAGAAAGAGCACTCTCAACTGCCTAGAGCCCTGCACACCGGGCAGAGCACAGCTCAGCACAAAAATACTTCGCTTAAATTCAAGTTGCATTTATTTCTGCAAAGATTTCCCTCATTAAACCCCAACAAATAGACACCAAAAATTAATAGACTGCCCTGGCAGCTTCTGCATCCATAGATTTACAAGAAACATGCTCAGATAATGGTAGTTCCTACCTGAACTGTGAGTCTGACTCCAACCAAATGAGGGAAGGCAAAGTTATGCAGAGATTGAGCATCCCATATATCTTTTATTCGACAGAAACAAAAAACGAGTAAATCCAACTATTGGCAAATTAAGTTATTGTATTTTTATTCATCTTCCCTATGTATATGCTATCTCTCCAATATTTTTCATTACATTTTCGGGGAGTAGAGCCCAAATCTAAATATGATGCTAAATATAAGCCTGAACCCCATCACATAGGTGCCAGTATGTGTACAGAAGCTTACTTTTGCATCCCAAAGAAAGCACACTCAGCAAAATCCTTTCTGTAAATTTGTGGGGATTGTCACATAAGTTTTGAGGGTTCATTCTTGTTTTCAGATGTTGGATATGTTTTCCTCCAGGTCGGTCCTTGGTTGTGCTGCACATGATAACGTTCAGGAGATGTGAGTACCCTGTGTTTATGTAGGGTACCCTGCAGCATCCATAGGCTTTGACTCAGCCACACTCAGTGCTTTCCCGACCAGCCAGGAAGCTGCAGGGGATATGACTACACACCTGAATATTGGTTGGAGTACAGACACAAAAAAATCTTTTTTTTTTTTCCAGGATTTGCAGAGTAAAACCCTTCTGCTGATGATACAGAATCTCTCTATGTGAAAAGAAATGCAGACATGAGAAGTGGCTTTCCCCCTCAACTAATTTAAGTTACTGTCCTGGGTGTAGCTTAGAAGGGGGACAAAATTTAGTGCAATTTATTGTTATAGCAGTCAGATTGCAAAAAAAGAAAATCCCACCCGAAACAACACTGACCTCAATAGAAGTGATGCCAGGGCAGGAATTAGATTGTGTGGTTGAATCTCACCTTCTGTCTTAAGCGCTGTAAAATATTCCTCCCACATTCACAGGTTTTTTATTTTCTCCCTTCAGAAACTGCCACGTATTTCTTGGTTTTAAGGGAGAAATTGTTTGCTCTGTGCCTGAGCTGCCAGAGACTCTGCACTCTCCGTCCCGGCAGGAGGAAGAAGCATCAGAGTTTGGAGCACAAGTTTCAAACACCACAAGTTTCTGCCACCACCTTCTGCCACCACTACTTATTTTTTCAGTTTGTGAGTTACTGTGTTTTCTTAAAAAAAAAAAATTGCATCCCAGTAGATGAGACAGAATTCTAATAACAAAATGTGGGTTTGTATGAGACTGTCTTTCCTGTAAAATAAGTCGTGCTGCCCTACAAACAGGATTGGGAGCAAAAGGCTGCCGTCATTTTATTATATTTTTTGTCCTCTTTTTTTACAAGGCACTTTTTTGTGTTTCCCAGACTTTTTTTTTTCTTTTTTTTTTTTAGTCACTTTTTTGCTCTTCCCAGGTTTCATAAAAAGTAGATTCCCCATCCGTATGTGACCGGGGGAGGGAGAGATTTCATAATGGGCCCTGGTGCAAGAAGAAGACGAAGGGGGACAGAGAGGGGAAAAAAACCCTCTAAGCTTTAATTTTAATTCTCCTGCCTTTATTTATCTGATTTGTGGCCAGATGGTGGTGAAGCAAGGCAACCCCTTTGTGCAAATGAAGCCCACATGTGAAAGTCCTTCTGTAATGTAATCATTGAGACCGGAAGGGTTCATACTGTGTCTGAAAAGAGACAATGGAGCCGGGATATATCAACATCGCCGAAATCGAGTTCATTTGCGATGCAGGCCCTTTGACTATGGTTGTCATGAAAACTTCCTACTTTGATCAGCAGAGGGTGGAGAGAAAAAGAAGAAGAAGAAAAAAAAAAAGAAGTCTTCTAAAGGGGCAGGGATGCAGCGCGGGTGTTTGCTGTGCACTTGGCTCCGGTTCACGCCCCTTTCCGGAAGACGCAACAGGGAGAGGAGCATCTTGCACCTTGACCTGTCTAGACAGGGCGCGAAGTTTGGGGGGTTTTTTTTGTCCCCGTTTCCAAGGGCGAGGGTTGCTCTTTGACCCCCACCACCAGCGGTGGTGGCTCTCAGGGCGTAGGTAGTGGACAGAGGTTTCCTGCTGAATTCTCGCCGCGGCCGGGAGGGAAGGGGATGGACAAAGACACGGACCAGCTGTTCGGAAATAAAGCTGAAATAGTAGAACCTGGGAGAAGCTAGGTTTTGTAAGCTATTATTTTCTGCACAAAACCCCTGGGAGGTATTAAACAGCTGCATCTGAGCTGGCGAGCAGCGGCTAAAAGACAGAGCAACAACTGAGAGCCCAAGACTTTTGCAAACTCCGCTTCAACCAGAGAAACAAGTGGCTGGAGCGCCAAGGGCTTTCATGGCCCGAAACATCCGCCGCCGCCGGCCGTGTCCCTTCGCCGCGGTCTCTTCGGGCTGCCGGGAGGTTCCAAACTGGGAGGCTGGCTTCTGGAGGAGGGCGAGGGGCGCGAGGGGCGCGGTGGGTGTGAGCCGGAAGGGTCGGCGCAGGTTCTCCAGGGCCACCTTAGCTGGAGCTGACGTTTTTAATTACGTGTGTAATGTAATGTTCAACGGTTCTGCATGGCGAGAGGGATGTTCTTTTTTTCTCTTTCTGCGATCTAACTGGGCATTATCTGTATGAAGTGTGGGTTTTTTTGGTGATACAATAAGCAAAAAAAATCAATTTCTTCCTCCATGAGGTTCCTTTAGCTAAGTCAGAGAGCAACTTAACAGAGTTGTTGGGACAGAAAAGGAGATGGGATAGATTTGCTCCTAGGCGAAGGGAGAAAAATCTATGCAGATTATAAAAAAAAAAGCAATGTTTAATCTGATGCTTACAAACCTTTGAAATTTGGGGTAGGCCAACATAACGAATGAGTAACCTTTTATTTTCCAGCCAAAGCTGTGTCAGTTTGCCCATCCTTTCTCGTCACTAGCAAATTCATGCAGATTGTGCCTTGTTTTAAGATTCTTGCCATATTTTAACATACTCCACACTGGTTCCTCACAAAAACCGGCTGAGTATTTGGTGATAACACTGCATTTTGTCAGATGCTTTATAACGTTATTTAGAAATGTATTTGGATCTATTTAGGGCTTCATAAATATGAATAAAGCATTTACAAAAGGCACGCCACTTGCAGAAGTAACCCACGGATTAGACCAGCTGCTTTATACGTTACAGATTTCCTTAACTTCGACAGTTCAAAACTACATTTTACTCATGGATTTTTTCTAAGTGATTAAATATAAATCAGCATTTCCCAGAAAAAAAAAAATCTCTGCTGATTTATGTGCAGGAAATAAGGGAATTGTACTAGTGGCTAAAATCCAGATTGCTAACTGGAGTTTCAAATATTTATGGACAAATTAGGGGAGGAGGGGAGGGATGTCATCCTTTTTTTTTTTCTTAGGCCTTGTGGCATAGGGATGGGTTTTTCTCAGCTAATTCTGCTAAAAACACCGAGGTGCTCTGCCTGGCTTTGTGCCAGAGCCTTCGTATACATATGTATCTATATATATTTTTTTAATGCTTTTGGGTTTGTTTTTTTTTAACTCTTGTGAAAATTGTGCAAAAAAAAAAAAAGAGGACTTCCAAAAAAACCAGGGGGTTGTGCTGGCCATGGCCTTTTGAGCAGTTTGGGACTTGAAAGAAGCAGGCGAGTGAGTCAGTGAGGAGCACAGGCACAGCTCTGCCTCGGTCACTGCCAGCTCACGGTTATTGCATGTCCTGGCAGGTATTGCTTTGATTTTTTTAGTCAAGCACAGCAAAGAGCCTTTTTCCTCTCTCTCTCTCTCTGTGTGTGTGTGTGTGTATACTGAGCATGACTTCCAGCAAGCAGATTTTATTTCAGTATGGTTTTTCTCCGCCCATGTTAAAGAGCTTCCCCTTGTTTATGGGTTGAAGGCTAGATTTTGGAGACTGGAATTCCCTCTTAATACGCACCCTGACTTCTTACAAGGTGCCAAACACCAGGCTGAGTGGTGTATTCCCTTGGACCTGCACTCACCTACCCTTCATGGGGGGGTAGAGACCCATTTTGTGTCACCGAGGTGAATTCCCAGCAGCTCCCTAAATGCCAGGGTGAGGGGGGGCTCAGCAGCTCAATGCTGTCGACTGCACTGAAATCAGAGCTGCATCTGCAAGGCCAGGGAGCTGTATTTATTGCACATCGTGGCCACTAATATCAGACTACAAAATGGGCTTGTTTTATTTAAATTTTGAGTGCCTCCTCCACGAGTCCATGTTGAAAGGGGCAGGGGGTGGGGTCGAGTGTCCCTAAGCAAGTAAAATGCCTTTTGGAGGGGCTTTCCCCCCCCGCCCCAGTCCATGAATGTGTTTTTGAAACAACAGTGAGGCTGGGCATGAAGTTTAAGTAATATTTGGTAGCATGAATTCTTGGGCATTCCCCATTCATCCCCACGCTGTGTAGGGCAGGGAGAGCAGAGCAAGCCGAGGGCTCCTCGCAGCCGCCCTGCTTATTTCCAGCTATTTAAAAAAAAAAAAAAAGCACAGTACGAGTATCCTCCTTTTTTCATCCTTACAGTGGGAAAGTGTCGTAGAGGAGTATGAAGATGAAATATTCTCACTTATCGCCCAAGAGGCAGACTATCTAGCTGACAAGCTGTGCAGTGAAAAATCAGGTACTGTGTCTGATGTAACATGTGCTCTCTCTACAGCCGTGTGGGGTTGGGTGTTTTTTTCAAACCCAGCGTACTGCTTTGGAGGAGAAGTGGGCTGTTGTTGAATAAGCAATGACACTACATGGCTTTTAAAGAGAAGAAAAAACAAAACAAAACAAAACAAAACTCCCCTTTCTTAAAGGCTTTTAATTCTTTTAATTCTTTTGTGCATATTAATGCAGCATAATTTGAGCATCCCAGCAAACGTGGTGTGTTTTCCTCCTGGTGTTACATGATTTTTTGCTCCTTGTGTGTCTGCGCTGTCACTTCCAGGTCAGAAATGAAACTAACCCTCTTGCAACAAAATACAGGCATTTGTTTCTCCTGTTTAATTGCTAATTGCAGCCACTAAGCTGGACTGTGCGACAGGAGAGGGCAGGGTTAGAAATGTGTTATTCATTTTTAGGTGAACTCTTCATTGCCATCAGACAAGAGTTGTCCTTAGAAGGGCTGGCCAGCCCACTGTCATCACCTGCTAGGGAGAATGTATTTTATAAATGTTTAATGTTTTCTTTCTCTGTAAAATATATAATTCCAAATAAGTAAGGCTTCTTTTCAATCCTGACAAAGTAAGGAAATGCTTCCTTAAGCTTATTTAAGATCTTCCTCCATTCCTCCATTTCTTTCCCTCATTTTCATTGTTGCTGCTTTTTTTTTTAACTTTTATTTTTATTTCTGAATCTAAAAAGAATATAAGGCACTAAGTACTCTAAGATTTTAAATGAAGTGGGGTTATCTTTCCTCAACATGCTGCCTTTAGTGCAGGAATATGCACGAAAATATCGATCTCTGAATCAACGCTTGTAAATATTGGGGTGTGTGTGTTTGAGATTTAAAAGCTGTAACCATTGCTTGGGATGTGATAAACAGGGCTCATAAAAAGTCCTAGAAGTTGGAAAAGAAGTTCTTAGAAATAAGTTTGTATACTTTAAAGTGTCAGAGTATTTGTAATACTTATTGAAAACACATAATCTGGAACACTGGAGAACTCCATCTGTAATGCCACAAAGTTCTCTCTTATAATCTTCCTGGACAAATAATTTCCAGAAAATAAACTTTCCGGAACAAATTTAATTTATTACAGATATTTCTTATTTGTCATCTTTGCCATGATAGAGCTGCTCTCGGTTGTGACAGAACAGACACAAGGAGTAGCAAATTATTTAGTAAACAGTGTACTTCCTCCAAAATGGATGACAGGGTTTCTGGTAGAGGGTTTTGCGCAGAAAAACTTTCTGGTTTTTTTGGAAACAAAACCCAGAGCAGCCTGTGGGATAATGTAGAAAAATCATCATCTCCCAGAGTGATTTTCTCAGGGAAGAGGAGATGGGGATAAATACCCTCTCCTCCTCGGGTCCCCTCATAGCAGCATCTAACACTTTTGGAGAACAAATTGCAGTTTTATGCATCTTCAGGAACTCTGTAAAAGTATTTTCTGAAGGCACAGGCAAAATATTGATATCAAAGCCCACGCTGTTAAAACCTTCTTTTTATTATTTTTTTTCATGGATGTGCTCAAAAGCTTTCACCTCCCCACCTCCCCCTTTAAAATCACATTTTGGGTTTAAAACCCACACTGTGTGCTCATCCAGGCTTCTTACATCAACAAGATAATTTCCTCCCTTCTGGCAGACGAGATTGCTGTAAGCCCACGTTCGCCTCCTTCACACAAATACCCCCCTGCATATGTGCAGGGTTGCTCTTCCTGACTATAAATAGTGGTCCACAGAGGGGAAAGTAGTTTAGTTTTCTTCCTGGCAATTAGCACAGATAAACAAGCTTCCATTTAATAAACAGAAGTGTAAGTCCTCAACGTTGCAAATATAGGATGCTTGCAAAAGTGGCAGGAACACTGCAGAGGATGCTGAGCTACCCTGGCATAAAAATAAGGACAAGAAATTAATCTGCCATTCACCGTATCACCCCATTGCCCTTTAAAAAAATGTTAGTATGATAAAGAATAAAGACTAAAAAAAGCCACGGAGAGTTTTTTTTTAAATCTAATTTGCTCTACATATAAAGTGGGATGAAAATAAATGTATTAAATTGAATTTAAGATAATGAAAACACGTTTTCATAAACTCTGCATCAGGCAGGAGATGGCAGAGGAGCACAGTAATACCTGATTTAGCAGGAAAGTACCTGTCTATGTTTTTCCAGAGAAAATAAATTCAGACACCGGTGGCATTGGAAACGGCGAGTCTTCGAATTTGTGTCAGTCTTCACGCCAGCCACGCAGCACTAACATATAACTTACCAAAGCCTCCAACTCACAGAACACAATGAGACTTATATTATTAGGTCTTATCTATCTTACAACGGCAATTTTCATTAATACGTTATATTAAAGCAATATTACACTCTTATCATCCTACTGTAAATTATTGGCTCTTTTTATTCAGAGCGCTGTGTGTTCATTTAGAATGGCATTTTTAACTTTTTTTTTTTTTTGGGCTAAATTATCATACTAAGCGACAGAAACAGTATAGAAAACCTCTCCACAGGCCAGTTGCAGATTTTGATACTTGTGGATTTCACCATAAAGCAGGGGAAAAAAAAAAACAAAATCAAAACCAAACCAAGTCAGTGATGTATTCATTTCATTATTATGCTTTTAATTTTGTTTTAAAAGTCTTCGTATGTGAACAGGGCTTTTTTCTTGTGGGACATTGAGGACTTAATATTGGTGTAATCAAACCCTTTTTATACTGTGCCATGGCAAAATAATAAGCCTTGCAGTTTTCTCTCAGCCTACCAACATGACATTAATGAAAGTCCCATATTATGGGAAGAAAACACCTTCTCCTCAAGTCCCGTTCAGCGCTTTTCTTTAATTCTAATATCATAGCAGACTTTTTTTTTTTATGGCTACTGGAGGTGGATGTTTCTTGTTTGATTAGAAAGTGGAAAACTTCAATAAAGTCTTTTAGCGTGATCAAACCGTTTGATATTTACAAGCATAGATCCATTCACTGTCATGTATTCTTTGATCACGCAAAAAGTCTCAGTGCTAGACAGGCAGGCAAAACCTGCTGAGATGCACCTTCAGATCCTCTACTATTTTTACAAGCTTAAAAAAAGTCTGAAAGTTAATTTTCGAGGAGATTACCTTTTCCTTTATCCCCTCCCTCCCCCAAACAGGAGGTGCCCGTTGCTGGTCAGCTCAATGGAATAACAGAGATTTTTTTTTTTAATTGGACTTTAATTTTCTTTGCTGATTGCAATAATTTTCTGTGTGCTCTTTCTGGGCTTAGATATATTTTTAGTTGTGATAGTTGGCGCTCAGTGCTGTGCCAGCAGCATTTCATTCAGGGTTAAATGGAGTTATGTGAAGGCCAGTAAGAAGCCAGAAACCAGTTAAAGCTTGTGGTAATGTACAGACCAGAGACAGCTGATTTATAAGTGGAAAATAATTTAACACCACGTATTTTATGGGTGCTGAAAGCTACTGTTTAAGTAACACCAGGACTTCTCCTACATGATTTTCTTTTTATGTGCTCACAGCTATAAAATGTTCTGTTTGGTTAAAATCTTCTAGTCCCCATTTTATCTTAAAAGTGACTTATCCCATGTGTTTCTTTATTTAGCTGTTTGCCAAGTTTGACTATAATTTAGGCACACGATGTTGAGTTATAGAAACGTGAAACAAAACGCTCTTATTCTACTGCAAAGAAATCCAGAAGTCTCTTTCTGCACAATTATCACTCAAACTATTGTGTTTTTGCAAACTGATACTTTCTAGGAGGCTCATTCCCAGTGAGAACTACTCTCCTGGAGAGTTTAACAAAGCTAGCAGCTACATCAATTAAAAGCAACTAAAATGACTGTTATGGTTATGTGCAGAATATTAAACTGCCATTAAGCCATTTACCACTTACCTTAACACTCTCCGCAAGATTACAGTTAATAAAAGCAATAAATGGGGTGCAAAGCTGGGTTTTAATGCTGCCACAGCACTCTGGAATTACATATTTTCTCACATTTTTCTCCCCATGCAACTAGGAAAAAGAACAGTGAAGAGAGAGATTAGCCTTTGCGTCCCTGCCCTGCAATAGGATTTATGAGCACAGATTTCCCCAAACACCACAAGGCACTGAAGGATCCATATCGGTGGGGTTTACTACAGAGCTGGGCTGTGTCACTCCCTGTTTTAAAATATGAAGTTTGATCTAAAAACCCACCAGCAACAAGGGTATACCGGAAAGACAAGGGAAAGTGAATTTAAACACTAACGTAGTCCCCTCTGGAGAGAGAGATGGGATATTTTCTATGTTTATGGGAGTCTTAGGGTTCAATGTGCTGGGGTCTGTTCTCCAAGACTGATCCATGGCCAACCCCATCACCAGCAAGTGCCCAAAACCAGATGTGAAACCCACCTGGGCAGCGACAGTTTCACCACAGGAGCTTGGGTGCTTTCCAGGTGGTTTTCTAGCAGCTATTTCTCCACAAACTGTGTTTATGTGATGTAAAAATCATAGGAGAACCGGGCATCGTGGGGCAATTTTTCAGTTCAAATGCGCGATAGTTTTCAGGGCTTTGCAAAAATGCCATCTTGTGCGGGGACGCACGAGTCGTGTCCGTGTCCTGTAAGGGAAGAGTTGGACACTCACTTATTTAAGACATTTGAAGACAGAAATTGAGAATAGATTGCTTCATTCTGTTTTTTAAAAATCCTTCTTAATCTGTTTCAAAGAGCGTATCTAAAAGAGCCTGACTCACTGTCATGGTTATGCCTCACGCTGTTCCTCCTTTCTGATTTATTGCCCAAAGTTGTTTAACATGCTCTAATTTTCAACTTAACACATCCAGTGGTGGAAGTGCTTCAAGAAGAAAGCCTGCTTTTTCTAGTTTGAAAAATACATTTTTTTAATAAAAGAAACAGGTATTTTCTGAAAAGTGTTACTGTGCAGGACATCAGTAAATCACAGGGAACTTTTTCTTCCTTAGGTGGCTGAGCAAAGACTGATGCTCACAAAGGTTATAGAAAAGATCAGCTCCTGATTTCAGACTGAAGTAAGGTGAAAACACCACTTTTCTCCTTGCCTTATCAATTTTTGCCGTTGTAATATCTCCTCTGGTTTCTACTTTCAATCTTTAAATGTTCCTGCACTCCCTAATCTTTTTATTATTATTATTATTTTAACTGTTTTTCTGTTTCTGATATTTTGACATGAAATGTGCAGAGGTTTTGGTGAGAATGTGGAGTTTGTTGGGGAATTGGGTATTCTACCTTATTTCTGTGTTTGGGTTTTTATTTACCCCAAGGTATTCATCTCAGTTGTGC